ATATATATATATATATATATATTATGTCAAAAAAATCTTCCTTTTCAATAACAGATTTTTAAAAAATTAAAGACATTGTAACGGTGAATCGTGAAATGATAAGGTAGCTGTAAATTATTAATATTTAATTACACAGATAGAGAGATAGAATTATTAATTGTCATTCAGTATCCGATTTCGAACAGGATATACTAATAAATCCATATAGTATAAACTAGCCGCTGATTCCCTGAGCGTATTATAAGTCCGTAACATATGTACAACACATCCGGGTCTTTAAATCCGATTGCCATACATTTAAAGAGCTTCTCAGACCATAAATACATTCCCTTTAACGATTATAGTACATTGGACTGAAAGATTAAATGGCACGATTTCAAAATCCGACATATTTTGAGTATTTATGAAAATTAATATTTTAAGAAATTACACAATCTCAAAGTCAAGAGTTGCAAGTCACTTAATTTCTTATGCAAATGAGAGATAATTTCACAAACATTCATTATGTTTTCATTGGTTTCCCTAAAAATGCCGGAATGTTATATTAGGAATAATAGCGACATACATCGATCGATACATTATATTTATATGGAAAAAAATGATTTTACTGAAATATCTAAAAATTTAGCTAGATACAGATCTAAAATTAATTCGATTAGATTACCAAAATATAATTATATAATACATACCTAAGATAGTTGCTAAAATGTCAAAATTTCTTGTAGCTTTATCATTATTATGCTTGTGTCTATACATTTTACAATTATTTCGATGGCAACAAATTTATTTGCTAGGTGCTGTATCTAGCCAATTTTTTAGATACTTTAACAAAACCATATTTTCTTTGTATATATCATATAATACGACCTATTTTATTATAACAAAGATCCCAATAGACACGATGTAACACAAGATTTATCGCGTCGTTAAAGTCTTTGCAGCGGAAGAACCCGGCGATCATTCTTGCGCGTTATCGCAATTTCTCGCAAGTTTTCGCATCCTGACAAATGTCACGTTCCGTGAAGGAAGGCAAAGGATCCGCGGTGGGTCAGCGTATTCCTCTTGATCCCCTTCGTTTCCATCACGTTACGTAAATCTTACGAGCCGGCGCATTCGTGGTGAGACAATTTCCGTTTTTCGCGTACGTAAACGTTGCAACAACAATTCCCGAAACGTGCGACAACAATCGCGGCATTTGACACCGGCAGCGACGAGAAGGTCAAAGGTCGCTAACCACGATCGTGCTCCGTAAACGAAGCTAAACGCTGGTCGATTTACTCCAAATACGGGTTAGTAGGACGAAATGAAAGAAATGAATGAAAGAACATGAGGCAACAAGGAATGTATATACCTGCGAACTCTCCCTACTTGTGTCCCTTAAAGAGATAATAAATAGAAACATTTGACAAAGTGTCAAACACCGAAAGCCGGTTGGGGATGCCGGTATTCTATGCGACATTAGTGACTTTTATCGACACGTGGCACCTTATTGTTGTGCAACACCCTAATTTGATGCATCTAAATGATCTTGATGTATTCTTAACGTTGAAAATGCGAGAAAAGTTAACTATAAATTACCCTGTAAATTATGTACTTCATATTTCTAAGAGAAAAATTGGAAGGATCAAATTTTTGAAGATTAATTAGAAACGTCGTTGGCGACAACGAGGAGAAACATGAAACGCTGCTCTACTTGACACGTACAAAATTACATGTTTATATGAACTTACGTCTTATGATATTTATAATTATACGAAAAGAACAATTTTACTCAAGTATCTAAAAATTTATATACAGAGCAGAAAATAATTTAATTGGTCAAAATAATTATAGAAATCTCAAGTATGATGAATAATGTTGTAAAAAAAAATTTGACTAGAGCAACCAATTTAAGCGTTCTACGTAATTATTTTGACAGCCCAAAATTATTTTCAGCCTTGTAAATTTTTACTAAACTACAGTAAAATTGTTTTCACAGCATTTAGCAAAATTTTTAGATATATTTGCAGTGAGAAAAAAATTGACTAAATTAGCGTTTAATTTATCTTTATTTCTTTACGTGTTTAAGTAAAATATATTATATTTTATTTAAATACATACATTTTCCAACAAAAGAAATAAAAATAAATCGATTTAGTTAATAAATTAGTCAAATGAACAATTTTTTTCTCAGTATGAATAAAATCATGCTTTTATTCTCGTATAAAAATTCCAATAAAAGTTGTTATAAAAGCTAAGATAAATAAGTCAAATAAAAATCAAATAATTTTTTTATGGCACATAAAAAAATTGCAAGGCCATTAATTTCTAAAGGCCAAAACACAAACACTTTACATAATACATAAAGTGTTTACAATGAGATTTTAGGGTGTTAAACCGTAAAAAAAAAATTAACTAATTATAGTCGATTATCTCATTCTATCACTATGATTCTATTCGACTATGATTGATTAATGTCTTATGGTTGAAGGCTTAAAGCTTAAATTTTGCACCTTAAAATCTCATTGTAGACGCCGCTTTATGTATTATGTAAAGCTCTTTTATGCATAAAGCATAAGAAAATTAACAAATTATTCTTTCATTTCACGAAGGAAAGACTTTGATTGATTGATTCTCTTATTGCTTTATGTATTGTGCATAAAGCGGTATCTACAATAAGATTTTAAGGCGTGAAACTTAAGCTTTAAGCCATAAGCCGTAAGAAATTGACCAACCGTAGTCGATTATTCTTCTCACATCAATTTCTTACGACTTGAGGCTTAAGGCTTAAGTTTCACGCCTTAAAATCTCATTGTAGACATCGTGTTATATAAGGCTCGGCGCTACGTTTTTTCATGAGCTATGGCTCTTAAGAATCGATCGCGATTTGATCGATTAACGAGCGCGGGGTTGATTATACCTGTTGCCAGTGATCCTCGAGCGATGGCTGGGCCGAGAAGTATCCGGTGTCGTGTATGTCCTGCAGCTCTCGAAATATATTGCTGCTCGGTAGGAGCGTATCCATGGCTACGCGCGGCTACGAAGTCCTTCTCCGCTCCGGAGCCTCCTTCTCCAGCAGGTGCCACACGCGGGGAGACGCGACGACGAGAGCGCGTAAACTCAAACGTAATCTCAAACTGATCGCAACTGAACAACGGACGACAACACCGCGCTTCACTCGCCCGTCAGCACTCCGATTCGGCCGACCGGTACGGCACGACAAGACGAATACGAATACGAACTCGATTCACTGAATGCGCTCCGGACGCACGCACGCACGTAAACGTAGTAGCGAGTAGAGGCGAGCGCACGTGCGTATCATCGGGAGAAGAGGCAGACCTCCCCCTCCACCGTAGACGCGAGAGCGAGAGAATGCCGGCGGCGAAACGAACAACCTAGGGACTCCGGAATTCGACGGAATACGTCGATCTACGTCGATCTACGTCGACCGAACAACGCGAGGATGGTTATGGAGTCGCGTGATTCTCCGTCGCGCACTTCTCGTTCCCGTTAACGACTCGATTCGCCCGATATCCGTCGGTATTCACGAATGCGCGTGCTCTTATTCTCCTCTTTCTTTCTCTTTCTCTCTCTCCCTCCCTCTCTCTCTCTCTCTCTCTCTCTCTCTCTCTCTCTCTCTCTCTCACACTCTCTTTGTACCTCCCGTATATATCACGACCAAAGAATTTATGCCGCCGCGTCGCTGCTTGTTATTTTGTTGATGTTGTTATTGCTGCCGTACGCCGTTAATCGTCGCTGACGAGAAGAACGGCGTATATTATACAACCGGCGGAAAAAAAAACTCACTGCGAACACGGCATCACTCGTGCGGCTCGACGCTCTGTCTGCTGGCGTCGCGTGCACGGCTCACTTGCGACAGTATTCATCACACGCGGGGAGGGAACGCGGAGGGGGGAAGACACACGCGGAGCAAACGTCAAAATGCCGGCTGTAGTCGTTCGTGCTTGGGCTGCGGTTCCCCGGCCTCCCTCTTTCGCAGCTCCGCGTTACTCCGCATCCACTTTAGACATTCGCGCGACGGTAACTCCTGACGGAAAAAAACTCGCGCATTCACTGTTAACGGCAACACACACGCGGGCCGTCTCTCTCCTTCTCTCGCTTTCTCTCTCTAGCTCTCCGTCTGCCGTTCCGCGTATCGTACTCGTCGCGTACCGGCTTTTATCCCTTCGCGCGCGCGCCGAGATCGACGCCGGTTCTGCCTCAACTGCGGCAACTTCACGTCGTACGACGAGATCGCGATACCGCACGTACGGATTTCCTGCCCGCGCGCTTACGGGGGTTGAAGGAAACGCAGGGGAGGGTTAACACCTTTGAACGAAGATACTCGGCACTCCGTGGATAGGGACCCGGCGAATATCCCCGACCGCTGAATACGCATAGACTCTTCCACGCGAGTGTCGAAGAGTAACTGACGTTCCTCACCGTAACTGTGAGCGACGAGGCCCGAATGCGGCCGAACGTAACCGAGCGCGCGCGAGCCACCGGCGACTCGTAACCGCTCTAAACGGCCGCGCGACGCCGCGGCAGCACTGATCGGTGACGTCGCGACGCCACGGCTGCGTATTGCGTGTTGCGTATCATGCAGATGAGGTACCACCGGCATCAACGAAAAAAAAACAGAGATTCGTTTATCGAAAGGAATTCGCGTCGATGATTTCATTGCGTGGACTATATCGTGTTACGTTCATCGACCTCAACATGTTGGCGAGAGAAGAAGGGAACTGAAATGAGAGACACGTACGAGGGTAACTTAAATTTCAAATTGTCATGTCAAACTATCTTATTAGTTCGATGCATTAGATAGGTGCATATACGAATGCGATTTGTAAATTTTTATTTCAAACTGAGTCGAGTAGATATCGAAATACGCATTTCTGAAATTTTAGCGACTGTAAAATATGGAAAAAAAAGTAAATGAGACACAAAATAAAAATACTTTGAAAATTATGTAAATTATGTTTTTATGTTTACTCTTATTTTAATCAACACGATTTCATTATTGCATTTTCGAAAATAAACGGGCACTTGCGAACAATTCATTTTCGTCATTATATAAACGAAATAATCAATGTCACATAAATTTCCAAAGACTCTTCTTTCACACATATGAACATTGTCACATACGCGAAAATGTATATTAATTTCCTCCCAATATAGATATTTTAAAATAATTTAATTCTTCATGCGACGTGAACAAAAATATTTTATAATTTTGCGATAATAATATAATTCTTGAAATTTTATTGCGAAATTGTTTAAATTTATGTCATTTATGTGATAATTTAAAAGTACTTACGCAAATAAAAAAATACGCAAAATAAATTCTTTGTAAATTTTTTTCAGTGGCAAGGAAAAATCTTCCATAATTTGCACTTTAATTGCATAACTCTGCAATAATTGTATGAATCGGACATTACTTCAATTAAAGCATTATAACTATTATATTCGCGAGCCGATATTACGTTCCATTCGAATTATAGGGAATCGCGGATTCCCATTCAAGCGACAGTACAGTAAAGGTCGTCTATAAACTTATGCATCTGTCTTACTTTCACAACGTGGCTAGAGACTCGACCATCATTTCTAGTTACAATTTTGCGCTCGAAAAGTTTCCAGCCGTTTTACATTATGCACTAGAAACAATCTGAAGCGCGCAAAACCTAGATTTAAAGAAAATATATTTTTTTTAAATAATACTTTACAATAAAATAGAATGTGATTTTTCGACTACGTATTTTAATATCTATTATCTTCTTCATAACCAATCTGGATAAAGTATGATAAATATATGACGAAGTTGTTTTTATTGCATAATATTAAATACGTTATCTAATTATAGTTTAATCTCTTGATAATTTAAAATTAAGTTTCATAAAAAATGAATGAAAATAGATGACATGATGTGTTTGGCATTTGTTCTTCACGTCTATGCTTCATGTTTGTAATTTTTTCTTATTACGTAATAAATACAATCACATCTTTATTTTAATACAATACGTGTTCGAAAAAAAGAAGCTTAAAATTATCTTTCGCGGATGATACTCTCAAGAGCTTGTTTTCTGAACCGACCTAACCGAAAGTCGAATGTGTACGTTTGCATAACATATAGATTTAACTGACAATGAGAGAAACGCGCTGTTCGTTCAGCGAATCGACTACGAGAAATGCACAAGCACGAAGCACACGAACGCGAATTATTTGCAAATGAATAATCGCTCGTGAGTCAACGGAAGGAGCCGAGTAAGAGAGCGAGAGAGCGAGAGAGAGAGAGAGAGAGAGAGAGAGAGAGAGAGAGAGAGAGAGAACGCCTTGTGTCGCCGTAAATGATTCATGGATTCTGTGTGTTCGTTAAAGCCTTTCTGTAGACGATCGTACAGCACGCGGGAATGCCAGATTAGATACGTAAGCGGCATTTATGGCGAGTGGAATTAGAAGACTAACTGCGCTTATCGGACCCATATACCTAGTTTCCGTTTGAGCTATCGCCGTTCAACTATCACGTCGGAGGCTGACCGTGTGATTCGAAAAGTATTTTTTTAATCGGTTATTGTGTGTGCACTCGAATCGCTCTGTTTGCGCGCTCGATGTTTCTCCAGCGCTGCACAAAGCGAGCGTTGTATAGGCGCCGTTATATCGAAGCGAAGTCAAAAGAGTTTCGGTCGTATTGAACAATCGCTTGGAATTGATATTATATCGCACCGACTCGATCAATGATACTGCCGATATTCTTGGAAATTGCATTTTCTGCATACATTTTAAACGATACTTTCGGAAACTAAATCGGCCGTGAAAGATATCAACATTAAAGCAAACTACGTGTTACATTTTTATTACCTGTTCGTTTTTGTAATTAGACGACATATTTTATACATCCGAAACCATTCTGAAGAGACAAAGTTACTTCTCGGAACATTTACTTTGAAATTATTCTGTGTTCGTGAGTACCGCAGATATTATCTGCTTTACGAAATTGCGAAATTGGAATGTATAGCACTGCATTGGAACCTGACCTCGTGCAACCTCTCAACTTCGGCTTCATTTTCCGAATATATTCCTCCGCTCAGTGAGTTAAGACGTCCGATACTATAAACATGGGTGGTCGCAGTTGGACCCAAGCCCAACACTCGAAAAGCTTTCTTGTAGTGGGATAGCATGTCGATTTTCGCCACGAAACGAATCGACAGGATGTTTGTTAGACATAAAACGACTCTCTCTTTCTCTCTAGGCGCATGTTCCGATAAAACGATCGACCGGGTATCCGGGACCATTAACATATTAATTCAATTATTCAGTTTAGAACGTTATATTACGCTGATCGATGTTTGTAAACCGTATTGCATTTCTAGCATGAAACGTTGCGAGCATACGCAAATAATTTAGCAGGATGGAACGACGAATTTCAACCCTCCACTGATCCGAGTTTTAGTCGGAAATATAAAGCTATACGATAATATCTGCGATATACAAAATGTTGCGAAAATACAGCAATTGATATAGAAAAATTGTTTCCCTTTTTAATACAATTTAAAATTTCATTACGAATGTCACGTAACTGAATTACTAAATTAATATACTATATACTCTTTATAATAGCTGATATTATCCTAATTATTATTTCAAATAATTATATAACGTCATTGATACAATCTAATTTAATAAATATTATCTCATAAATTTTGCATAATTGTTATAAAACATGAAAATGTTAAATGTTTAGAAATTTGTATTTTATCTAGTTCTAATGAAAAACCATAGAGTTGCAAAGTATTTCGTTAAACAAGACTTGACGAGACTTGTGTCGCCTGTATATTTTCCTGTAACGAAAGTTTCCTTGTACCACTCTATCATTATCTGCATACCGCAAACCAAGGTTAATAACAGTCATGTTGCCGATATTTGGTACACGTTTCCTTTGTACACCACATCGATAGTTCCGACGATCCGTGTCTTACAGAGCGCAGCAAGAAACGCGCTAAGAATGACGTAACGCCGGTTACATAATGCCATGGCAAACGTTTGCAACGTGCGCGTGTAGTACCAACTATTCGTGTCAACTATTATTCTTCGAACGACCCTCGGCATAGCGTCGTTGGCCGCGCTGTGCACATTTGCGCATCCTTGGAACTGGAATTTATGGGACGAGGTCGCCCGTCGTAGCATTTAGGATTTTGTTCGACGTTGTATCCGCAACTTCACGAAATACTAGACAAATAAATAGATAGAGCGTTTATTATATATTTTAAGACGGATCCTCTAAGAATCTATACACACGAACACAGACTATTATGATAACAAGAAAATAAAATAACATAAATTATATAAGCAAAATGATCAAAAAGAAAATAATGAAATACAGTACAAAATAAAGTAGCAAGAGAAAGAATTCAAACGAAAAAAAATAAATAAATAAAAAGCAATAAAAACTGGGAACCAAGTAGGAAATGCGCAAAAATAATAAACTTTTTATCGTACGGTCACACCTTTACTCACACAATTACTTTGAGATTCAAGCTCTTACAACCTTATAAACAAACGTTTCAGCTCCGATGTTTGAGCCTTTTTCAGTGATAAATAAAACGAATTAAAAAGAACAATCTCTCCCCCTGAAGCCGCATGTTGTGTTGAATGCCTGCCAGTCAATTTTAGGAATCAATAGATAAAATATTTAAAATACGTTGTCTAAAGAGAAAAAAATATAAAAAGTAAAAATTTATGCAACTAGTATATATATATATATATATATATATATATATATATGTATATGCATATATACATAATTATTAATGGCTCAGATTAAGAAAATAATACATAATAATGATAAATGATATTAACAAAGAGCGAAGCGTATTGAAGACACTTGCGTTTCTTGTCTTGCCGGAACTGATGATGATTATTACTATTAATGACTCTTAACGATAAGATTCTTAATCTCGTAATCCTATCGTACGCGCCAGATGACTCCGACAAGTTGTGCTGAAAATTTACGTTACGGATTCCGACAAATGCAGAGCGATGACGATGACGTCTCTAAGTTCTTGGAACGATTCCTGAAACTTTTCGTAATCGGAAAACTCGTCTATCTTCGATAATCCGCGAAAGAAATATCGAAGATATGTTATTAAATTGGAAGTTACAAACGCTATCACTCTCGATTATGTATCATATAGTCATAACTAAAATATCAACGAGATTGTATTTACGCCGGATAATTCTCGTTTACGCTTCAATGCTTGAAACGCTCCATATACTTCCGGTTAATACTTGCGTCGGTGGTAATATTTTAATGGCTTTTGCAAAATCAT